GCTAGTAAACCATAGCATTTCAGAGGTGGTTCCTTTGTCTGATGATGATCGAAAATATCACTTGGGGGTCACCTGTCATTGAACTGGTCAAATCAACCATATAACGCAAAGTCAAGTTAAGAGAAGTGAATTGTGTGGACCAACCAAAGGTTCCATCAACTGAAATTATGGAGAGATTGTTGTAGAGGCAGTGAAGCTAACATAACACGGTGGATTATTTCATGGATGGTTTTCACATCAATTCAGAAGGATACTTCTCTACGGTTTCTAAATTTGACATTTTTGGCAAATCGGTTCTCTCTAGGAATAGTGTCGTAAAAATGAACTTATATGTCCTAAATTGGATCAAAACCTTTGTAATTGAGACATCTGTGTCGAAATTTACTTCAAGGCCAATATATCATAAGTGCTCTACTAATAGATAGCCTGAAGATTTATACCGCTAAAATCAGGTACAGGCAACAGTACTAATTTTATTTTCCATTATATTTCCACAATCACACATATTTCATGATCTTGTTAGTGTGGTCATACCGGTAACTACTAGAAATTGTTGGAGTGCTCCAAGAAGATTAGAATGTCTCAAGCTCTCACAGTCACAGCATCATCAACTAGCATCTCTATTGGATAAAGAAGTGGTTTTGGGGGAAGTTGTTTATCAATCTCCTTTTCTAGCATATTAAGGACCTGGCTCATCAATGATCGATTATTAGGGCTCAATTGTATGCACCAAAGAGCAACAATTATCATTTTCCTAATAGTCTCTCTTTCCTCTTCTATTACATCTACCATTTCAACCTCCTTTTCTTTGTTGAGTTAATCATAAATCCACAAAGGACAATAAATATGACTTGAACCCTCTACATTTATATTTACATTTTCCCATCTACCAGACATTTCCATCAAACATCCCAAAAACTACAAATGTCAGCTTTATAAGAAACATCACCAATGTACTTATAGAATAGCTCAAGTACCATATATCCCAAGGTTTTGCTAGCTACAGTAAACGATAATATGCAACGATCGGTGGAACAAAGTCTTGCAAGTCCAGAGTCAGAAACTTTCAGAGTGAAACTCCGGCTTAGGAAAATGTTGTGAGGCTTGACATCAAAATGTAGAGTTTGTATATAACATCCCTAACGTAGATACTCTATCCCCCTAGCTATGCCAAGAGAGATATCATACATTTTCTTATAATCAAGAGAATTATCCCCTTCTCTTAAGAAAATGAGCTTATCCGAAGATCCCTTCAGCGCGAAGATTTTCTAATCTCTTTCCATTATCATTTATGTAGACGAAAGAAGAAAGTAAGTAAAAGGTATTCCTACGAATGTGAGTGTATTTACTCTTCATAATTACCAGCAGCTTTATCCCACATGAATCTACTTCGTGCGTCCATTCATTTTCACCAGCAAAAGTGGATGTCATTTCTTCCATACCGCAACGCAACTGTCAATTAAAATAAGACCATATAGTCTATATTTGTTCTTGGGTAGACGTGGGGGACACGAGGGCTATTTTTTACTTGAAACTTCCTTCATTAGCGAGTTGATCTAGGTATTACCTGGTACAAATTCATACTCTCGGGTGGATTCATCTTATCAAATGCTATAGTTGCTTTGGGCCTATTGATATAAATATATAATAAACTTACTTTGCTTTTTACGTGACCAACACTGGTTGACCATGGGTTAGTTAGCTTAAAACTCATCCTAAATCATTCTAGACATAGGGACCAATGCTAGGAGGAAAGTCTAGCTCCAAGCATTTTCTCATTGTTTATCATTTGGACCAATCTGGACTGGATGTGTGTAATACGCTTTCAATTTTATAATGGCCGGTTGGGCCGAATTTTCTCGAATGAGATCTGTGAATTCCTGATTTTATTGGATTCAAGATGTGCTACTCCAAGCAACTTGTGTTCCATGAGTCTTCAACAAGGAGGAACAACAGCAACCAAATGCATATACGCTTCAACTGATAGAAGAATCATTGGTAGCTTATTGTGTTTCTTTGATCTGCTCTGTCCGGCTAAGTTATAATGTATGCAGTGAGCCTCTTTTAACTAGGTTGCGAAAGACTGATAAGTTTACCTCTTTCTTTTCTTCTCTTTTCTGGGTTACACAGATGAGCTCACAGAGCTCACTATTTGAGCACAATCCATACTTTTTGAGTTAGCTGATATTGTCGGAGTGATCCTTTCAGTGAAAACACCGCACATACAGATGAACACGATGCTAATTCCCAAGATGATCAGACAGAAAATTCATGGAACCAGTCGGCCAATGAGATGAGTTGATTTCACTCTAAGGACAGGACAAGAGTGAGATGGCACATTCACGGCCACTATTTTCGCAAACATAAAGATAGAAAGAGATGGAGCAGGATGCAAAACTTAATAGCCGAAACAGAGCACAAAAAACCAGAAGATTTGAGGGGAAAATGTCGGCCTCCTGCTCATTGCAACCTTCTTCAGATAAGTTTTCACTTGCATTTGGTGGCGGACTAGATGTTGCCCTCTTCTGGTAACCAAAGCTAGTTTGGAATCCGAAATTTCCCTTAATTGAGGGGCCAAATTTCTGCAACTTATCCCTGAGCGAACCATGTAAGGAAAGATGTGATCGAAGATGCACTGAATGAAGGGACCACCTTCAACAGCACCACAATTCCATTAGCCAATGCTTCAGGAAGACATGGCGAGACTTCAGGACATGTGCAACTAATGTGAGCTTCATATTCACAAGGAGCACAATAGTAGATCCACAGATCAGGGAAGTCTCTTCTTCTCGCAGACTTCGCTGTAGTACTCAACTCTACCGCCTTTGAGCGAGGGCTTAGAATGAGCACCTGATCATTGTGGCGTTTGTGCGTGACGCCGGAGGGCTAATAAAGAGCGCACATCACATGGAAATGAAGTTGTTCCATGTCGGCTAGTGAAACTTTGTTGCCTTCACCAAACACTTCACAGTTGGTTCTTTTACTCGCAACCATTTGAGATTTTTAGGTCAGAACGGTTGTAGGTTAATCAAATTCCATTCAGAATCCGGCCATACAATGTTTTAATTCAAGTAATTACAGCGGTAAATTAAGTCGAGGTGCTTTATTTGAGTAGCTTTGCCGTCCTACGCTTGAACTTTTTATGCATCCTAATTACTTGTATTAAATTGGAATATTATAAGGGAAAATTACACCGCAAGTTTTATGCTTTTCATAATGAAGTCTTAAATGTTTAAAAAAGAACGATGACCTTAGCATCCAGCCAGCTATCTGTCTCCGGCGCGCACAAACATATGGTGTAACAAGTTAATCACAAAACACTGAAACAGTGAAGATGGAGTCTCATTTCTTCTCGAAAAGTCATCATCGGCATGTATGGTTTGTGGATGGAGTGTCCTTAGTCCTTGCCTCACGATTTTCCAAGGAAATCATATAGAGCCTGGACAAGATTTAACATCCTCCTATATATGATTTCCCAAGCAAAAGGATCTTGGGCCGTTCGATGATATTGGAATTTGCACATACAGATGCGTGGACCAGGACTAGAGGCCTAAACATTGCAATTCCAAGAGGCCCGGCCAGTGAATGAGAAGTGGTTTTTCTAGTGTTGATCTGAGTCCCACATCGACTGAAGTAAGATCTAGAGATCATCCCCCCAGACTTCGTAAGGTGATTTGGCTAGTACCGGTCAAAATCACGCAGCTGCTTGGAGTGCATAAAGCAAAGTACTCGTTCGCCTTTCACCAAAGAATACGCGGTGTCATGGCTTCCAACCACCACGAAAATGCTAAGAAGGCTGGTTTGAAAAAGATCTCATGTCCGCCTTTGAGGAAAAGCTCAACAAGGTGATGGTGGCCGTGACTGATTTGAAGGATGGGTTCGAGGAAATGAAGGAGCAGATCGACCTAGAGGAGATCGACTTAGAGAAAATGAAGGAGCAGATCGACGATGTGAAAGAGACCGTCCGTGATGAGTTCTCGAGTGCCATGAATCAAGTCACGGTCCCCTTGAAAGAGAAGAATGAAACCTCGAAGTTGCAGTAAGAGGCATTGAAATTAGAAGTTCGAGAACTCAAAACTGAACTAGCCTTGAGGCATTGAAATTAGAAGTTCGAGAACTCAAAACTGAACTAGCCTTGCGCAAGTCACGCATTGTGAATGGTGTGGGAAACGTTCAAGCAGCACGCAAGGTGGGTGTGCCAAGGTCGAGGCCAAGGATTTCAAGGGCTACCAGTCCGCTAACAAGGCGCACAACTTTATTTGGAGCATGGAGCAATACTAATGAGAACGCCAAGGTAACAATCGCTTCCATGTTTTTAACAATGTTGCTACGCTATGGTGGTGTTGCGATGAGATGAAGCGAGGTGCCAATCCCATCAACACTAGGGATGATTTCATTAAGGAATTTCGGGAACAATTCTTCACTGACTTCGCCAAGGACAAGGCCCGTGGTAAGTTTCATGGGCTCACACAAACAGGAACGGTTCGGGAGTATGTCAAGGAGTTCACTGAGCTTAGGCACGATATCCCCCATCTCGGGGATAGCGAAGGTGTTCAAGATATTTCCAAGGCCATCGCCGTGGCCGGATCTTTTGTAGACTTCTCCAAGCCCAGCTCTTTCAAACGAAAGATCGAAGGGAAACGCGGGGAGGAACCAAGAGAAGTCGGGTAACGAAGGTCCATCCAAGACCATCAGTGGGAAGTGGAAAGAAACCCCAAGGGGAGCTGCACAAGGATTAAGAAAGGAAGGCGATCCTATTTAGTAGCTACTGCATACATGTAATTGCACTAGCACAAATACCTAATGGGACTCCGATTCGTGTAATTCCAGTCAGTGGATCAAATCCATTTGATGTCTCAGTTTCGTTACGAGCTCACCTCCTTCTTCACAATTTCAGATTCTATGGCAGAATCACCAGGATGACATGAAATGGTTAATATGAATGTCTATAACGAACCAGACTCACTTTGCTCTACCACATCAAGAGAAATTCCCATCAGTAGTCAAAAAAAGCATGATCAGGGTAATTTCATTCGGTAAGTGAACATTGTAGAAATCAGACAAGACCGAGCAAAATATACAACAAAATTGGTCCCGCAAAAAACTTTCAGGACTTCTTGCGGTCATGCTCTTCACAACCAAGACGCATGACCGAACCATGTTACCTCAATCTAGTATGTACCGCCTGTTCAATGCATCTTCGAAGCGACTGCATGAATCCACTCTCATCTCTGTACTCATGTCGTTCTCGGGTGCCGGATAGTAATCTTCTCTCAGCTGTACATCCCTAAGATTCGGTACCTTCAGCAGAAAATTCATGAAATGCTCGTGTGCCGTTCCGTGAATGAAGAGCTTCCTCAATGTAAGACACTGTCCAAGTAAACCGGCCGCAGGCAGCGACAAGCTCCTCTGGTTGACGTCCCGATCTTGGGGAGGCCAGTAATCCAGCTCGTTAAGGCTAAGATTCCCAATCCCGTTCAAGAAGAATCTCTCCCACAAGCTCAGATCCATTTGCCCTGACGGTGCTGTTAATACATAACCTATGGCATCACCACAATCCAACTGCATCTTCGAAAGTACTGGGTAACGGGAAAGCATACTCAACCCAAATGCGGGAACCGCTGGCTTTGGCTTCCCCCTGCAATCTCCCTCCACTTTTATGCGGATCTCCTCCAAATTGGGACAATCCTCGAGACCGGCCATTGGAAGCGGTGTCAAGAGGTCACCAACTGCAATCCAAAGCGAGAGGTATTGTAATCTTTCCCAGCTATTGCACAAGAATCCATTGCCGTTGCTGACGGCATTGGAGTATTGGCTATCAAGAGTATATTTGCATCTCTTGTTCCGGCCTGCATCCTCGCAGTCGGTGCTACCATCAAGAAAGTGCATGATTTTGTTGTTCTGGCTTGGCACACTAGGCTCGGCCACTTCATTCAGATCGAAACCATGACAAGCTTCCTCTCGTCTCTCCCATTCTTCCAATCCATCCCACACACAATCAATGTGGAGCCGCTGGATCCGATCACGAATCGGTTCCACGGCACGCAAAGATGCTGCAGCGTCTAGATTCTTGCAACAAGAAATCCTGACATCAAGCAGAGTCCGGCAAAGCAAACTGACAAACAACCTCATACCCTTCCAGGAAACATTCTTGCAACCCTGAATTTCGAATTTCCTCAGCTTCGAACACCCTCTCGCGATCTCGATCAACCCCATGTCCGTCAAATCCGCCGCGTTCTTGATCGACAAAGACGTGAGACCTTGGCAGAGTGCCAACCCATCTAACTGAGATTCAATTGCCATCACAAGCCCATGAAATTGCCCCAGCTTGAGCACCCTCAAGTTCTTGCATTTGGAACTCAACACTTCCAGAGCAAACCCGCTCTCTCTGACATTTCTACAAACATCTAACACCAAATCCTCAAGCAAGCTAAGTTTCGAGAACACCTCCACCAGCGCGGCCCGCGTGATCCCCGCATCCTCCGAAGTGAGCCCATCGTCCTCCGGATCGCCTCTCAGATTCGACAGCGAAGAAGTATCGGCCAAGTGAAGCAGGGTCAATTTGGGACAATTGGCAGCTATATCGAGCAAAGCCTGATCGCCGACGAACCCGAAGTACCTGGGATCAAAGGTGCACGCGACGAGGAGCTCCCGCAGGTTGCCGCAGGCGGCGGCGATCACGCGAATCTCCTCCGTCTTGAACCCCTCGCTGAAGGACGTGGTCAAGAGATCCAGCCTCGTGAGGGAGGAGGCGACGGAGGGATAACCCTGGAGGGCCGGGGGGAGGTCCTCGGTGTAGTAGTAGAAGCTCGAGAGGTCGAGCGCGGAGAGGGACCGGCAATGCTCGAAGAGCGTGGCGAAGTCGGCGCCGAGCGGCGACTGCGGGGGACGCTGGTGCCAGCGCACGAGCACGACGCGGCGGAGGCGCGGCCACTGAGGGAGGAGCACCTGGAGGGTGGCCGGGGACCGGGCGTAGACGGTGAGGGAGGTGACGGAGGGGAAGGCGAGGCGGAGGCGGTGGGCGAGGAGGAAAGGGTCGGGGACGGAGGAGGCGAGGTCGTGGCCCCAGGGGGAGAGGAGGGAGAGGTCGAGGCGCTCGACGCGGCGGAAGCCGGTGGGTATCCGGTGGAGGTCGCGGACGTTGCCGCGGAGGGCGAGGGCGGCGCGGGTGGCCCGCTCCAGGGCGAGGTACTTGCGGCAGACGAGGGAGAGGGCGTTGCGGGCGCGCGTGTCGGTCACGAGGGTGAAGATGTTCGACAGGATGGCGTCGGGGAGGTCGCCGATTTCGGTGGCGTAGCAGCGGCTCGTCGCCATCTCGCGGTGGCGGCGGCGGCGGCGGTCTGGCGGCGGGCGGAGGGGAGGGAGGGAGAGAGAGAGAGAGAGGGGGGAACGGCGAGATGGGCGGGGGGTGGGCTAAGCGGGGGCTGTCGAAGTGAAATGGAGAGGAGACCCACGCGCGATATGAGGTTAAGGGGGAGCTTGAGATGCACGCGCGAGCGGGAGCGCGTGGGGGAGGATGGCGGGGGGGAAGGTACGGGAAGGAGGCTGGGGGAGGGTACATGCAATGTACAGAGAAGATGATGAGGAGGGTTGAGGATAACAAGGAGGCATTAGTATGGTTTCAGAGAAAAATTTGTAATTTGAAAATCTGATGCGTGAGAATTTATAGGTCTCAAGTTTCAAGTTTCAAAAATTGAAAAACTTATTTAGATGGAAAGGTTTCAGATTTTAGGTAAGTGAAACCTGAAATCTAAACAAGTTTTTTATGTTTTTTCTTAGTCTAAGTCTTCGCATGATCCTGTGGTGTTTCATGGCGTTAGATGATGAGTGTATTATCTGGAACCACTGGTCTGAACTTTCATTTCATGACTTGTTAATGTTTTCATATAAGTTATGGTCAGTGGATCATAGCAGCAAGTAGTGGTCATTAAAGGTGATGATTCACTATAATTATTCAATTAATAATACAAGTGAAACCTATGTAGACCCTTGAATCAAGCTGGAACCTGTGATAGGGTAGGTTCCAGATGGAACCTATACGGAACATGGAACCACTCACCCCTAGTATCGATTTACACAATGACTTCTCATTTTAATTGTATTTATTTGAATCGTAATGCAATGAAAACTAATCTTTTGTATTCTCTTTGGTGAATAATAAGTTTATTTAGTAGTGTTGCGTTCATTTTTATTTTGTTTAACTAAAAATGAAATAAATAAAAAAGAACCTCTTAGACCTTGAAACCTACCCTGAAACCTGTAACAGGGTAGGTTTCAGGTTCCAAAAAATGAGGAACATATACCCGAGGGTAGATTCCAATTGGAACATGTAAAGAACTTGGAACCGCTCACACCTAATAATAAAGATAAAACCAGGGGTAAATCAATCGGGTTCGGGTTGATTAAGGCTGGGATTAAATAAATGAGGGTGGATTAAACAGCTATGGCTTTTAGGTTTTGACGACCCAATTATTTACTTAAACATGCATGAGCTATATTGAGTTCCATTGCGTTATGTAAGGAGAGTTTAAGAAGGCATTACTCTTCAATGTCTTTTACGGAGGAAAATTATCCAAAAAGTTTTAAACCTATTGCATTTTTGCCAATACAATCGTAAACTTTTCAATTTTGTTAATTCAATCCTAAACATTTTGCATTTATACCAATTCAGTCTATCCGTCCAATTTTGGCTGGCTGGCGCTGACGTGAACGCCAATCGGCACTGGCCGTCCGACCAACGATGACGTGGAAATTTTTTTAATATTTTAATTTTTTTTTCGAATTTTTTATTACTTATTTTTAATTTTCTTTCTTTTTTTTTCTGCCCTTCTTCCCTCTAGCTGATGAGGTCGGCCTCGCTGGCCACTAGTAAGGGTGAGCCTCACCCACCACTGGCTGGTCGAGCCTCGCCGTCGCTGGGTTTTCCAAGGCAAGGCTGACCTCACTGTTGCTTGGTGAGGGAAAACCCAATGACGGTGAGGTCCACCTAGCCTTGGCCAGGTGAGGTTGGACCTCGCCCCCCGGCAACAAGATGAGTTCGAGCCTTACCTAGCCAAGGCGAGGCCGACCTTACTATCACTGGGTGAGGAAAAACCCAGCAACGACGAGGTTCGCCTCACCTTGGCTAGGTGAGGCTAGACCTCGCCCCTAGCAACGAGGCGAGTTCGAGCTTCACCCCCCAACGACGAGGCGAGTTTAAGCCTCGCCCAGCCAAGGCGAGGCTTGCCCTTGTCGGTGGCCAATGGGGGCAAGCTTCGCCGAAAGCCGGGGAGGGTTGGTCAATAAGGCCAGAGGGAAGAAGGGCAAAAAAAAAAATGAAAAAAATTAATAAATTTTTTTAAAAATATTTTTAAAAATTGCCACGTAAGCATCAGTCGGCCAAAATTGGTCAGATAGACTAAATTAGCATAAATATAAAAAGGTTTAGGACTAATTGACACAAATGCAATAAGTTTAGGACTTTTTTTAACAATTTTCCCGTCTTTATAGCGTTAGTCATGGCTTGGTACATGTGATATTGCTATAAATTGGATTAATACTTACTGTACAAAAGGTGTAGAAGGATTAAAATTTAGCTGTGCAGTCCATACATCATAGATTCTAGTTTAGCTATTTCGAAAATGAAGGTATTTTTACACATAGAAATTCTCTTCTTTTTTTTTACAAAAGTCATCTTGTGTCTTCAATTATCTATGAAACATTTTGAGCCCGCATCGCATAGATATCTGCCTGGCTTACATTATAATTGAATGGAACCTATCGAACTGACATGGCTAGATAAATTCAAAATAAGATATCATAAACTACAAGGTGGATTCTATCAAACATGTTAAGTTTTGAACTCCCTTTCACATTCTCGAAATGAGATAATAGAAACACGTAACAAAGGTTTACGAGTTCCTTAAGAGCTTATGCATGATATGTGAAGAGAAGGTATGTTGAATATCTGTGGAGACAAATTGTGCATGCTCCCGGTTATAAACACGATGAATGTTCTAAAATGCCTAATTAGGTTCAGTTTTCGATGTTGTGCAATATAAATCAATTAGTAGTCCGAAACTGTTTAAGCACTCAACTAATCCCCAGCGTGTTCTAAATTTCAATAAAAAAGATGGAGCAATTTATCACCCTTTGACCCCTTATAATAGTATTATAATGTTGAGGATAATGGCACAACATTTACCTTTTTGTCCATATTTCATAACAACATAATTGAAACAATAAAAGTATGCTTTTTGGAAAAAGGAACATTTTTCCATACTCAAAAGAACATGGTTGCAAATCACATACATTTTGTAAATGTCCTTCGCCGTATCCCCCAATCCACCAAGTTGGAAAGACCAAAACTCTTTCGGTTATATAATTGTCTTTCGCATGTGTAACAATATCACCACTTTGCAATAGGTCTTAATTGATGCCATCTAACAAAATATCTTTGCCCTTTGGACTATTCAGCCTTCTGTTGCAAATTCTCGCTTTTTATTTCAACACAGTAGATCCAATAATGGAGCTGCTCATGCACTTGCAAATTGGGCTTTTAATAAAAAAGAGGATTGCATCCTCTTTTCTTTTCTGCGATCTCCCGCCTAGAGTTTACAATATTGTATTAGTAGATTCTTTTTCTATCTATCGTTCTACTGTATGTACATCACCCAATTTGTAATGTTTTGTTTGAAATGAAAAGTTTAATTCTATCCAAAAAAAAAAAAAACAATTCGCCACTTCTCACCACTTTGCAACGAGATAGTTTCAATTAAGGAAATGCCTTCTCAACTGTACCTGGGCTGCTGCTGCTGCATAAGCCGCCATGTCATTCGAGAAAATCAAATTCTAACCAAACTTAAAAAATTCCTCATTTAAACTCACTTCCGAGTAATTTTTATACCATCAAAAAGCACTTGATTGGAAGTATCTAAACTCACATTATACCAGGATCACAAATTCCTGCTCTACTCAAAGAACTTGACCTTAGTGGATGCACACATGATGCTAATCAGATAATCGATCAGATCCATCCCCCACTCACTTTTTGCATAAAAAGCCACAAAAAAAGGGCAAAAAAAGAGTCGTAAATAGTTCGGATTCTCTACAATTCGGGGTAGATTGGAATCGCGAAAATTCCAACAATTAAAAGAAACACCATTCTTCGAAATTTCTTTTTCCAGTGAAAGAAAAAAAAAAGCGCAGAACGCAGCATGAATTCCCGCGATTTTTCGCTGTAAATGTGCACAGGCAATTTTCAAGCGGTTTTCTTTTGCCGAAAGAAAAAAAAAACATAAAATCGATGATAAAATGAATGAAACAATGAAGGGGAAATTGTGGGTCTCTATCATTGTGTTCGGACATGGGAGTGAATGGACATATCGTTGTCTCAGACTCATCCAAACCCAGGAACAGAATAGACGCATTGGATCGGGTATCTGGACAAACATGATAGTGCTCGTCTTAAATCGGAATCTTTCTCTTCATCTTCATCTTCTTCTTCTTCTTCTTTTTTGTTGTTTAATGTTTTATTATTCTGTCTAAAGAGTTATGGATATAGCTCAACTTGTTGGACTTTTCCACTAATGTCTGGACCTCATTCCCAAATCAAAGAGAATAATATACTTTCCCCTCCCCCACGAAAATGCCCAAGTTGCTTTTGCATATCAAAAACCGTCTCAATTTTTTAAATAGTATTTTAACGGGAGGAGATATCCGAATATATATCAGAGTGCTCGACTGATCGAATTGAGCCGTAACAGCTCTCCTCCTCCTCCTTCTTCTTTTTTTTAATCTGAGCTGCCTAGATGCCCCTAAGAAGAAGGATCGCCTTTGGTTGTATCCGAATTCGCGAACGGAATTTGGTGTCGAATTTTAGCCTGACTCGCCGATTTCGAGGGGCTTTCGGTATGCGGTTTGATTCTAATTTTATATAACTTGATTGGAATTCTCGAGAGACCCTTCCATGCGAAATCTATCTATGCATCGGAATGCCACACATTATTCACTGCACCAATAGAATCTAGAGAGTACCCTAATGACTGTCGTCGCTCTTTTTTCTAAATGATAGAAAAATTCGACCGAATAGAAATAAGTCTCGAAATCGCGAAACACTCCCCTCATGATGAGTAGTCATGTCGTAATCGTAGACGGGACTTGAAAATGAACGGGTAAGGGGTCCATTGAGTTTGAGATAAGCTTTGTGCTTATCTCAAGTGAAATCGGGGGGAGAGAGATGTGGGAAATTCGACTTCTTTGATGGGCACGAGAGATGCTTCGTTAGTGACAAAAACACATCAATCAAATGCTCTCAACGAAGTCAATGGCTCGTGCCAAATGATCGTCCACCCCATTCATAATCAAGATAACATTGAATCTTCGATCTTTTCACAGCATGTATTTCGCATGCAGCCCACAAGAATGGACCTTCGAAGTTTGGAAAATCGAGTGGAAAGAGGCTATTCACCTTTTTTTCTTACGAGGCATTAATGGTGATTCAATAGTGACAGCTTTTTAGGCTCATATATAA